TTGTGGGGGGAGGGGGCTGGCGGAGGAGGAGGAGGAGGCGATGTGGCGCGCAACTGGATGCGGGAGAAGCGGCCTGCAGCAATGCATGCAGATCGTGGCCAATTGTGTGGCGCGCGCAGGGGGTTTGAAAAGGAAAGAGAGCAAGGCCCTCCAGCTTTGCGCGAGTGTCAGGCGGGATGGGCAAAGCATTACAGCGTAACTGGAATGGGCGGTGTGGAACGAGGCAGTGGCCCATTTTTTGGATGATTTTCCAGCCTCCCATCCAACTCTCGAGCTTGCGTGCTGCACACTCACTGCCGCCTGACCCATCCCCTCCCTTGTATCAATTGGAGTTGCCAAACCCCCCAATCTTGCCTTCCCCCCTTCGCCGGACCAAGTCGTACCCGCTTGTCCCATGCCGACCGCCCATTCTCCGGTATCACATGTTCTGCATGGCAAACCCTTCTTCCCCTTCCGTCTTGGCCCACTGCTTACCTCCTTGCCGTCCTCCCCCTTGCTTTTTTTAAAATTGAGGGGGGTAATTTCAATGGAAAAAACGGCCGCTTTTATATTCACTAATCAAAAAAAAAAATCGGCTCGCTCCATATGATCATACAATCAAAATTTGTGTATATAAACAGAAAGATTCTAGCTCTCGCACCAATCCCCTATGGTCTAGTGGTTAGGATTTCCGACTCTCACTCGGGAGGCCGGGGTTCAATTCCCCGTGGGGGAATATTTTTTAATTTTTTTTGCAACTCCCGTGCATTACAGTAGCCTTTCACGTTTGTCCCTTTGCGATCCGAAGTCTATCTACACACAACGCGTAAATCTAATCTGTTAGAGTGTGCACCTTGCCTCCTTGATCCGGCCGAATTTTACCTCTGCGCTGCTCCACCGTCGCCACACCTTCGCGCCTGTCCAATTGCCTAGCGCGCGCATCCACCACCCCCCCCCCTCTCACCCGCGATGCCACCCGCAACGAAGCGCTCCCGCAGCCGCGGCGGAGGCGCGGGCGGCTTAGAATACATCTCCCTGGACGGGCTTCGCATCGACGGCCGGCGCCCGACCGAGGTGCGCAAGATCCGGTGCTCGCTGGGCGCGCTGTCCCGCGCGGACGGCTCCGCCTACTACGAGCAAGGCAACACGCGCGTCCTCGTCGCCGTATACGGCCCCCGCGAGCCCCACTCGCGCGCAAGCATCCAGCACGACCGCGCCGTCGTCAAGTGCGAGTTCTCTACCGCCATGTTCGCCTCCCCCGTCTACCGCAGGACCTGGAAGGGCGACCGCAAGAGCACCGCCGCCGCCCTCGTCATGCAGAAGGCCTTCGAGGGCGTCATCCTGACCGCCTCGTACCCCAAGAGCCAGATCGACATCTATGTGCAGGTCCTCCAGAACGACGGCGGCGCGCTCGTCGCCGCTATCAATGCCGCCAGTCTGGCACTGGTTAATGCCGGCGTCGCTATGTCGGATTTCGTCGTCGCTTGTAGTGTCGGCTTTGTGGACGACACCTTTGTCGTTGATCCAAGCTCGTTGGAGAGCGCCTCGGATCGCCCGGAGCTCACGCTCGCCGTCTTGAGTCACTCTGCTAAGATTGCTTCGTGTCAGTTGGATAGCAAGCTCCCGGATGGCGAGTCGTTTGAACGCGCTTTGGAGTTTGCGACGTCGGGTGCCAACCAAATTTTCAAAGTCCTCGAGTACGAAGTGCGCAAGTATAGCTTGAACTTGCTTGACTCGCGCGGTCTCGTCGCTTTGTAATTCTATCAATGTGCCTCGTTGTTGGTCTTAAGCTTGTTAATCTCATCGGCATGTGGTTCCTTGGGACACGCCGCGTCTAAGCGTATTTGTTGTACAATTTTGAAACGCCTGCGTTCATCGAATGTGCACTTCTTGGTCAAAGAACTCGGATTTAGGGTGCTTGAGGGATTCAAATTCGAACAGATCCGTGTCTGCTTGTACACGATACTCTGCGTGCTCTGCTTGTCTATCCAGCGTCTGCAGTAGAAGCAGGTGAGGGTTATATTCTTCGATCCGTTTCCGTGCTTTGCAGCCCAAACTACTGTTGTTCATAAGCAGCAACTCGATAGTGGTGATATCTGGGAAAGCGGCAAGCTCGACAACGGCAGCCCCGAACGAGACGGCTGACATGGCTGCACGGGAGACCAGCTTGGACGGAACCAAGGGAATGACGAGGAGCACAATTTTTAAAATGGCATAACTGGCCGCGGCCCCGCCAGCGGCGCAAGCGACTCCCCTTGCGGCGCCATCCTTGAGAGTGTATCGCAAGAAGGTTTGCTCACGCGGGGTGAGCGAGTTGAAATGCTGCTCACGAATGGTATCCCTGGCCAACCGCAGCGCCGTGGCAGTCTCCTGCGGCTCGACTGCAGCGGCAATGGTGAGCACTCTTGCAGCGCGCTCGCGACGTATGTGCGACAGTGGCGGGGAAGGACCATCAGATGAACTTCCTTCTGCTATCGCATAGCTGGGTCGAGAAAGCACGGAAAGCGCCACCAGACTTGCCGGCCGCAGTCTAAAGCGAGCAAACATGACGGCCAGCACGGCTTTTGTGCGACCTCCCCCGGCACTCTTCGAGCTTTTCTGTGGAAGAAGATTTTGAGGTAGCACGAATGTTTTTGCATGATGAGGCAACTGAAATGGGATTTCTAGAAACTGTTGACATGAAGACGGTCTTCTGTCCTTTCCGTGCAAATAATTGGGCGATATTTTCAATCCTTGGTATTGCTAAATTCTACGGGTTTTCAAAGACTCATGCGTATGATTTGCATTCATCTTCAAATATCTCCCGAAGGTCGCCCGGATTGGTCTTCTCCGAGACCACTCCTGCACCGCCAGGTGGCATGCCTGCAGATATACTATATATATATGATCTGTGATTAAACCGCGACGGAGGCAAGTGTTTTGTCTGAAGCCTGAACACATTGAGGCCTGCATATGTGTTTGTGGAAAAGCAAGAGTGCCACGAAGGGATTAGGGGGATTAGGGGATTTAGGGGATTAGTGTGTTAGTTGCTCAGGGCTGTTCGGAAGCGGGCACAGCATTCACGCGACATTTCTCAATCTTTCAGAACGTAATTTTGCATTGTTCCAAGTGCCAATTGTTATACGTGACACGTGTACTTTGGATGAAACGAAGT